GAAATGGCTCATGGCATGCTTGGCACCCTGTCTCCTTGCCTTTATCCTGCCTCCTAGCTGGTTTTGCTCGTGGCTTTATTTAAAATGGCAGACTACGTGGAGTGAAAGAGGACTAGCTAGAACGAAACAGCATCAGCAATCGTGCATCCCTAAGTACTATGTGTACTCGCCCCTTGACTGTCTTTCATTTCTCATTATTTCACATTTGACTGGACGACAACCCAGATTACATATGCTTTGGAGACTAGGGTGACAGATGATAAATAAAACATTACACTTTAAGCTGTAGATTGGATTGGTTAAGTGCCAGAGCGATTGTGTTTTAGGTCTTTTGTAAATTAGGGGATGGTTAGAAGAAGCTTCTTTTTGGAAAATAATTTAGAATGGGTATGGTAAGACCCAGGCTTTATTCATGTGAACCACAGGCCTTTAAACCTGCCGTTGACCAGGGACCAAACTTCCAACCTTCTCTCCTTTGGATGTGAGAGTGTCTGCCAACAGGTTTTGCCCTTACAACTTCAGAGGCAAAAATTAATGCTGACTGCAAGGTGATTCATATATTCACGATGCTGAACACTGTGAGAACTTGGCAGTCTTTCGGAGAAGAAAAAAAATGTGCTAGTGGTGTTAACCATTTCTTTGGATTCTACTAGTCTTCTTTTAAATATTAAATGTGTCTTTGGCAAGACTAATACTACCATGGTTCTCGAACTTCAGTGAGCATCAGAAGGACTTATTAAAACAGATTGCTGGGTCCCATCTGCAGAGCTTCTGATTCAGTGTGTCTGGGGTGGCCTCTGACATTTCCCTTTCTAACAAGTTCCCAGGTGACGTGGACATTGCTAGTCCATGGACTACGCTTTGACAACCACTGGTCCTGTGGGAATTTAAATGCAGCTTCAGTCTGGGTTGGTTGGGAGATTGTGTTGAAAGGGGGCTGTAGTTCATTTGCCTCTTTCTTTATTTTTAATTAAATTTTATTTTTTTTCAATTTTTATTTGAGTATAATGTAGTTGATTTACAATGTTGTGTTAGTTTCAGGTGTACAGCAAAGTAAATGAGTTATACATATACATACATCCACTCTTTTTTTAGATTTCTTTCCCATATAGGCCATTACAGAGTATTGAGTAGAGTTCCCTGTGCTATACAGTAGGTCCCTATTAGTTATCTATTATCTTTTTTTCTTTCTTTCTTTCTTTTTTTTTTTTTTTTGCCTGTGTTGGGTGTTTGTTGCTGCACTCAAGCTTTCTCTAGTTGTGGCGAGCCGGGGCTACTCTTTGTTGAGGTGCACGGGCTTCTCATTGCAGTGGCTTCTCTTGTTGGGGAGCACAAGCTCTAGGCACGCGGGCTTCCGTAGTTGCAGTACGTGGGCTCAGTAGTTGTGGCGCACAGGCTTAGTTGCTCCGAGGCATGTGGGATCTTCCCGGACCAGGGCTCGAACCCGTGTCCCCTGCATTGGCAGGTGGATTCTTAACCACTGCGCCGCCAGGGAAGCCCTAGTTTTCTATTTTATATATAGTAGTGTGTATATGTCAATCCCAATCTCCCAATTTATCCCTCCTCCCAAAGTTTTTTTTTTTTAACTGAAGTATAGTTGATTTACAATACTGTGTTAGTTTCAGATGTACAGCATAGTGAATTGGGTTGTTTTTTTTTTGTAGATTATATCCCATTAAAGATATTGGGTATAATTTCCCGTGCTATACAGTAAATCCTTGCTGTTTATCTATTTTACATATAGTCGTTTGTATCTAGGAAAGGGAAAATCACAGTAGGAAAGGCAAATATATGGTAAGGATTGGAGATCTGTTAAATAAGCCAGGGCGTGGATTAAAAAAACAATACAAGAAACAGGTTGTAAAAGCCATCACTTGCCTCTTTCTGAATCAGTGTCTTCCTGCTGTGGGATTTGGCCTGGAGGGAGGAGGAGTCTGCCTTCACTGCGGTGACCTGGCTCTGCGGGCACACTGCCCTCTATATGTGCCGGACTAGCCTCTCCAGGTGAAGGCCAAGGTGCGCTGATGGAACAATACCCCTCCCCCGCCCTACCCCCGCCCCCCGTCCATCTCCCCCCAAACCAGGAAAGAACCCACACTTGCCGGTTCAGAAGCCGCCATATTGGCAGTATTTGCTCCTGACCCAAATCTTCCCTGCATCCTGGAGACGACTGCAGCCCCAGGGCAGTGGTGGGGTGGGGATGTCACGTGAACAGCCACAGCCTTAGGGTGGCTGACCACAGGCAGGGCGTCAGGAGACCTGGCTTTTCTTTCTGGGTGGACTTCAAACTCCTGCGGTGACTTTGGACAAGCCTCCCAAATCCTCGACTTTCCCATTTCGACTCCTTGTGTTTACGAAACACATCTCTCGCCACCCCCCAGCTCCCAATCCATAAAATAACAGAAGAACAAAAACCCAGGTCTGGTGAGTGGCCACCGGGGCATTTATGAGCTGATGTGCAGAACTTCTGAGCAGCTGAGGAGAAATCTGCTGTGTAAACACAATATAGTATTAATAACACGTTAAAAAATAGCATCACACCGTCTGCTCATAATAGCTGCTTTTCAGCCCTGGGGGAGCTCTGACACACCGGCTTCCAGCAATGTTGATGGAAGGGTGACTGTGGGCTTTTGAATTTGCAACACATTTAAAAGAAGATGAAGGGCTTCCCTGGTGGCGCAGTGGTTGAGAGTCCGCCTGCCGATGCAGGGGACACGGGTTCGTGCCCCGGTCCGGGAAGATCCCACATGCCGCGGAGCGGCTGGGCCCGTGAGCCATGGCCGCTGAGCCTGCGCGTCCGGAGCCTGTGCTCCGCAACGGGAGAGACCACAACAGCGAGAGGCCCGTGTACTGTAAAAAAAAAAAAAAAAAGGCCCTCCAGTAAGCCACCTCATCCTGCATGACTGTCCTCTCAGCTGTGGCCCCTCTGCCCCGAGCACCCTGCCAGGACTGTGGTGACCAGGCCCGGCACATTGCCTACGTTAGCCTTCTTCACTCCTGCCGCTGCGTCCCTGTGTGCTTCTGGCCTGTGTTATCTTTTCCCCCTGCGTTTTCTTCCCCTGGCTCCCCATGGGGGTGTATGGCACTCAGGGCAGATTATCCTTTTGGTTTACAGGGCCAGGATTTCCTTTTGCGCAAGCCTGTACCAAGAGCCCCAGCCTGTTCGTTACTTTTCCCACATCTCTATGTTCTTTTGTGTTTCACCCCAGCCCTCGACGATCCTCTCTTTCCGTCTGTGTTTTTGAAAGAATAAACCCTACAACTAACGTGTTAATTAGAAGCCTCCTGAGTGGACTCCAAGCAGCCTGTTTACATACTTATTTCTGACTTTTAGGTTTGGGGGAACATGTCTGTCTATAGGTTGGCTAGGATTCTAAGTAGGTGCCACTGTGGGCAATTCTGTTAGTGCAGAGAAGGGAATCCAAGGTGGGTAATGAAAAATGATTTTATCTGATAGCTGGGAAAGAGGGCTGGGAAGGCTGCCTCATGTTGGGACAGCTAGGGTTGACTGCAGTCATTCTTGAATTTCTCGTTTCTCTCTTTTCATTTTTGTTTGGTATTTTGACCCTTGTATTATTATCATCATTTCCTCAGGTTTACTTTCATTTTCTGTCTGTCTTTCTCCTGTGAGTTGTCGTGTCTGGGTTGCCAGAGACAGCTGATGCATCCCGAGCCCGTAGACATCCTCCCAGCTCCCACCCCCAACCCTTGTCTGAGTGTCCTCTGCCTTTTCCTTTGGCCTCATCCCTAACTCACTCCTTCCTCCCCCTGTGCTGGGTGTCTTGGCTGACCTCATCCTTCCTTCTCTCTCATTTCTTTTAAAAGAATCGCTCCATCCTGCCATGAATACTCTTCTTTTGTCATTACCAAATTATTCCTTCTTTTTATCTTTGGGAAAATCCAAAGGTGTCTATCCTGTCATATCATCAAGAGACATCCAGGGTGGGCTTTTCAGTTACTTTGTTTAAGCCAGCATTAATGGGTAACTTTTTTTTTAAACATCTTTATTGGAGTATAATTGCTTTACAGTGGTGTGTTAGTTTCTGCTTTATAAAAAAGTGAATCAGTCATACATATACATATGTTCCCATACCTCTTCCCTCAAAAATATGGAACGGTTCATGAATTTGCGTGTCATCCTTGCGCAGGGGCCATGTTAATCTTCTCTGTATCATTCCACTTTTAGTATATGTGCTGCCGAAGTGAGCACAGTGGGTAACTTTTTTGTGCTCTGTGCAATTATCTCATTTCATCTTCAGGTGGGAAATAGTATTCCCATTTGACAGGCGAGGAAAATGAGGCTAAAAGAAGTTTGGTAGCTTGACTGAGATCAATCAACAGGTTAAATGGTAGAGCTTGGGATGTCTCGTGCCAGAGCCTCCACTCTCTTTTTTTAAATTTATTTTACTGAAGTATAGTTGATTTTCAATGTTGTTAATATCTGCTATACAGCAAAGTGATTCAGTTATATATATAATTTTTCATATTACTTTCCATTATGGGTTATCCCAGGTTATTGAATATGGTTCCATGTGCGATACAGTAGGACCTTGTTGTTTATCCATTCTGTATTATAATAGTTTGCATCTGCTAATCCCACACTCCCAATCCATCCCTCCCCCACCCCCTCCAAAGCCTCCACTCTTTGCTATTAAACTCTGCACCCTCCAGCTGGAGAAGTGAAATGTTGTGTTGCCAGGCAAGGGGGAAGGATTTTATGGCCTTGAAGACCCTCCCACACCAGCATTCATGGGTTGCTGTGAGGTCACGTACCGTGGTGAGCCCCTTTCCCATGGGATTGATTTGGTGATACATCTCTGAGCTGTATTCTTATGGAGATGATTCTGTATCAGTTCTGAGACTAGGGGTGGTCATGGTGGGAGTGTGGCAAATTACGGTGGATCCCAGTGCCTCAGGCTGTGTCACTGTCACTGTCATTGTGTAAATCAACAGGGTGGAGTTCTCCCAGTAAAGAGTCCCAATGTTCTGTTCCTTTGCAGAGCCTGTGTCATCTTGGGGGTGATATTCCTTCTGTCATCCATATGCATAGTGGTCAAAGCCATCCATGACCTCTCGACTAAGCTGCTTCCGGAAGTGGTAAGGTTCTTCTTTTGTCTTAAGAGTCTTTCCTGATGGTACCAGCCTCCTGTGTTACCTCTCACCCCAGATGTACTGGGGGAAGTTGGGCAGGTGGAGAGAAAACATACAATATTTAGGAGTCCAGAAGAACTCACTGTAGAATGTGAACGACTTGGTGGAGACAAGCCCTGGGCAAGATAAAAAGGTAGTTGAGCTGGTACTGGGTTCTGTGTCCCTCTCCTTAGATCTTTTGACTACTTTTAAAGTCTTTTATGTTAAGAGAAATGGAGTGATTTTTATATAGCAGAGCAATCCGATCTGTGTTGTTCGCATCTGTTTTTCTGTGTCCATTCAATCACTATTATAATAAGAATTATTTTTTTCCTTTGTATCTCAATTCAGTATATAAATCTGTTCACATTAGGCTTTCTGAAACAACTGACATTCAGATGCAAAAACTGGAGGACATAATTTCGTATTAAAGTGACATAATTTCATATTAAAGGACATAATTTCATATTAAAGGACATATTAAAGTGTCCTTTAATTAAAATTAAAGGACATAATTTCATAATTTCATATAAAACTGCCTTGTTTTCTGGGTGAGAGGCACCCAGATTCTTTTTTTTGGCACTCTGATTCTTTTTTTTCCCCCCGCCCCTTATGAATGCTGTGATAAGGAATATTTTTACACTCTCCTATCAGGCTATCTTCATGTTAGAAGGCAGCTGATATACATACCAGGAGAGTAAGGTGCTGCCATTACAATGCTTCACTGTACAGACAATACCTCAGAGATATCGCGGTTCGGGGCCAGATCACCACAGTACAGCAAATAATGCAATAACGCAAATCACACAAAATTCTTGGTTTCCTGGTGCCTGTAGAAGTTATGTTTACTATGCTGTAGTCTATTAAGTACTCAATAGCATTACGTCTAAAAAAAAAAAAATACATACCTTGATTAAAAAATACTTTATTGCAAAAAACGTGAACTATCATCTGAGCCTTCAGCAAGTCTTAACCTTTTTGCAATAGTAACAAAGATCACTCATTATAGATCACCATAGCAAGTATAACAATCATGAAAAAGTTTGAAATATTGCGAGAATTAACAAAGTGTGACACAGGGACAGGAAGTGAGGAAATGCTGTTGGAAAAATGGTGCCGATAGACTTGTTCAACACAGGGTTGCCACAAACTTTCAATTTGTAAAAAAAAAAGCAGTGAAATGAAGTGTACCTGTATGTAAGTTGCATAGTGATTTAATACAAAATTATGGACTGTTCTTTTAGGATGTGATTTGGTTTGAGCTTGGCTATGTGCACCATCTTATAAAAGGCCTTAATTATGAGACCTTTAATTTCACTTTTAGAAAAATACATGTTCATCTTTTGGGGGTAACGTATTGCATTTGTGTGTGTGTATAGGGAAGATGAAAATGAAGCGGGGCGTTACACTGCATTTAATAGAGCTGTTAAGGTGACTGCTCTAAGTTGTACTGTGTGCCCACCCCCGCCAACTTGAAACAGACATTAGAGCCATTCCTTTAGTAACTCCCGAGGACGTTAACCGTTATTTATCATGGCAGCTGGCAAGGAGCATGTTCTCTAATATCTCCATGACAGGGAGGAAAGATGGAGAGCAGGTTAGGAGTGTACCTACCTATGGATCTGGTCTTTTTCAGCAGAGCTAGCTCAAACAAATAATCCCATGGCTTATACTCCGTGTGCTTCCTCTCACATTGTGCTTGTCTCGCCTTGATCTTCCTGGTTGCCTGGGATCCTGGACTTTTCCATCCTTTTCCTCCATCAGATTGGCTATCCTGTGTTCCATTCCATCAGAATCTGAAGCTTAGGTAAACCGTAGACATAAAAGTATTAAGCATGATGGATTAAGATGTCAGTCAGATAACATCTTTGCATTTTATAAGGGATGGAAATCTCACTCCACTCTAAGAAATGTGTATTGGTGGGAATTTTCAGCCCTGGGCTAGTTGATGCATTCATTTATTTATACATTAAAAATTAATGTGTAGCACGGCTCACTTGATGTGGAATAGATAGCTGTGCTCATGGACCCTTGTTCGTGGCCCCCCTCGTTCTTGTCTTGAAAGCTGAACCATTTTTAACCGGGAACAGTCTTACATCTTACAGTGCATATAGTCTTAAGAGAAGAAGCCTACCAAGTTAAATTCCACATCAGGGTATGATGTCTGATGCCCACCCTGGCTGGGATGGGAGAGGGTGAAGAGCTCCATGATTGTACCAAGACTGGCCCTGTTCTGGGAGGGCTCACACCCACTGCATCTTTTATTAGTCCTGGTGTGGGATTTAAAAATCACACCTGTTTATGGTCATCTCATGAGAACTCTAATGAAAGATGTAAGGTGATTTGTTGTTTTGTTTTGTTTTGTTTGTTAAGCCTTCAGTGTTACCGAAAGGTAACAAAGGCATGTGATCTCCTGTTTCCAGAGGGGAGGGCTTCTGATCAGCTGAGTGGCACACGGGGACCAGGTAAATGCTGCCAGGTGTTATCTGACAGCATTTCAATCCCGAGTCTTTGGGTTCCTACTCTCTGCTCTAGAAGTTTGGGGAGCCCAAACCCCTGGCCTGCAGTCATTCAAGATGAGCGTCCATCCACAATGTCTCATCTGAATTCGCAGCCACAAACTCAGATGCTCACAGACGCCAGTCCCGAAAACAGGAGAAACTGCCTGGGTCTGTGGCATCCAGACAATGTGTGCGCAGAGGAAGGGTCCGCCCCTTAGCAGAATTGCCATGGAAACCTATGTTTAATGTGAAATAAATGGGCAACTAATTAAATTTTGGGAACCCTGGTTGGGAGTCAGTTTCCCGCAGGCCAGATACAGCCTTTGCCTCTTTGCTGCTGCTGGCCTGTGGTGGTAGAAACCAGAGAGACTGGTGTTTATGGCCTTGATGTTCGGGATTTCAGGTCCAAGTTACAGATTCACTCTTGCCCTCATCTGCAGAATTGCCTTTTGATGTATGATTTCCATCAAGTTGTTACTGTGGGTTTGTCTGAAGCAGTGTCTTCCCTGCCCCAGGTCCATCCTGCTCCCACCCCTCGCCCCAGTGGCTTTCTTTTTCTTTTTCTTTTTTAAAGGTTTTATTATATTTTATTTTTGGCTGCATCGGGTCTTTTCTACTGTGCGTGCGCTTTCTCTAGTTGAGGCAAGCAGGGGCTACTCTTCGTTGCGGTGCGCGGACTTCTCATTGCGGTGGCTTCTCTTGTTGCGGAGCACGGGCTCTAGGCTCACGGGCTTCAGTAGTTGTGGCATGTGGGCTCAGTAGTTGTGGCTCGCGGGCTCTAGAGTGCAGGCTCAGTAGTTGTGGCGCACGGGCTTAGTTGCTCGGCGGCATGTGTGATCTTCCCGGACCAGGGCTCGAACCCGTGTCCCCTGCATCGGCAGGCGGACCCTCAACCACTGCGCCACCAGGGAAGCCCTTTAATTTGTTTTTTTTGTTTTGTTTTTCCTTTTCTGTCTTCTCATCTTCAGATTGGGGTGCCCAGATCCCCAGCTGGTCCCATCCCTGGCTTTTCTGGCTTCCACTGCTGCCCTCACCATGCGGGCCCCCTGCACGCTGTGCCGCTGACCAGGGTGTGCTCCCCTTAATTTGTCTCTTGAAAAACCTGCAGGCAGGTGAACCAAGAAGCAATGGAGAAGTAGGCCAAGTGTGAATGGAGGGGACTCAGGGGTTACATGGCATCACGCGGAAGAAGGTGCTTTAGGGAAGCTGCTTAGCATGTGGGAGGGATGCGGGCGTTGGGGGGTGCTGAGCTGTTGGAGGTGTGACGCCCCCCCTCGTACCCACGTGACCGCCGCAGGCAAGTCGCTCCACCTCCCTGCCCTGGGCTTCCTAATTCGCACAGTGGGGACGGTACTTCCATCAGAGGTTTATGGTGTGGATCGAGTGAGCCGTGTATTTAAGATAATTGTCATGAGAAGACAGTGCTGCTGTGGTGGCTGCTGCTCTTAACCGTCTGATGTTTAATGCTTCTGAACTCATCAAAGTTCCAACTTGTGGCCTGAGTTCATTTCAGACGGGCCCCTCCATCCCTCCTTCCTGCCTCCTGGTCCCCCTTTCCTCCGGCTGGATGGAACCGGGGCTGTTCTCTCTCTGGCTTCAGGTTGCAGTAGCCAACTCTGGGCCACTGCATTTCGGGGAAATGGCGTGCTGTCGGAAGGCTTGTCCTCTAAGCCTAACCCACCGCTCGTTGGCTGCGTGGCTCCCAGCAGATTGTGTTTCCTCTCTGACCGATGGTTTCCTCTTTGTAAATGGGTGCCATGCCCCCTACCGCACAACAAAAGTAATGAGAATTAAATGATGTGATGAACGTGCAAAGGCTCTATCAACCGTCGTGTACTTTACAAAAGAAGAAAGTATTGTTTCTGATCCCAGTGCCCGAGAGGTCCCATCCTTTCCCACGCGCTTTCTCTCTCTGTGTCCTGTTGTGTTAGATGCGCTCATTAGCTCCTCTGTTGGTGACTGTGACATCTTTACCTCGAGCTCTTGACCCGTGTCTGGGTCTAACCTCCTTAAGTCAGGTGCACTAATAGTGATAACAATTATAATTAAAATCATGCATGGTTCCCAACTGGCAATGAATAACATATGGTCCCATGCTGATAATAATAACAGTTGCGACCATGTAAATGCCTCCTGATCCCAGGTCCCCCTGTCTAGGCACCGGGGATTCAAAGTCAACTAACACTAATGCCTAAAGTTTTCCATTTCTCTGCAAAGTCCTTGACTTCTCATAGGAGCTGGCTTTTGCTCCCAGGGATGTCACAGCGGGGGAGAGACCCAGAAACCGATACATCTGGTTCAGGTGATGAGGGTCGTGGTAGAGACAATCGCATGAGAGCACAGAAGACTTCCTTATCAAGCCTGGCATGGGGGAGGTGTGTTGGGGCCTTCCTGGAGGAGCGCTCCCTCCACGTGACATCCGAAGGATGCGTGGGCACTGGGCAGGGGGTGGGGGTGGGACCCGGG